AGTTATAACTAATAATATACTTTATTTTCTGATTCAGAAATCTTATAACAGTTTTGACATTTTGAGCTAGTCTAACATTTTTCGAATATTTGCTCTAGAGAAAAGTATTTAAGTAAATATTCAAAATAAGATCAATTAGTTGATTTTTAAGCGGGTGGCCACATTGCCCCATTGGCCATATTGTCCCACTTTCCCCTACTCCTACATCTCTTCTGAACTCACTATTTTTTTCATTTAAATACCCGTGGACGCCAAACTGTGTTAGAGTCCATAGAGTCCATAATAGACTCACTAAAATTAAGTCCCACAATATCGCGCAATTCTTATACCGGTGAAGTGCCTGTAATGTTGTGCTAATAAGCCAAACGTCTCCGCCATTTATCACCTAGATCAGCGGTTCCCAACCTTTTCAGCTCCGTGACCCGCTTTGTGTTCCGCGGTCCCCTGGAAAGTACCTTGTATAAATTACACTGAGATGAATAAAAACCATTCATTTGATCTGTTAGGTATTCGTTTTATTTCAAAATACTATGTAATCAACAACCAACAAGCATTCAGTGCGATTGTTGTAGATCTCAAATCAAGTTACGATGCTTCATTTGTGATCATGCCAAACGTTCAATCTATTTCTTGTCCTGGTTTTAATGTGGAGAAGAGTTGAAAATCCGCTCTCGTACGTATGTACGTACGAAGATGCAAATGGGACAAGGATCTTCAATGTCTGCTAGGAGACTTTGGGATACGACATGGCACGCCAGAACTACTGGTTCAAATCTTTATCACTGAACAAATCACGAGATGAGGAATCATTTCTCTGGTCCAAATATTCATCCTGTGTTTCATCAAGACTTCCACATACATTGAGGAAGAAAACGTGTTGCGGATCAGCATCTTCTTGTATCAGCTCAGGGAAACACAGCTCACATTGATATCCAGTGAATGAAAATTAGCAATAATTTCTGATTAAAGATCCGAATTTAGCTCGTTCGCTCTAGGCCAGTTTTGCTTGACTGCTTGAAGATCGTCTTGGAAGTGAATTAGATGGGTTTACTAGCCATCGGCTAAAAATCTCATTAATAAAGTATTTAAAAAAAGATTACTGGCCCCGTAGTTTCAAGTCCAGCGAATTTTGATAGCCAACTGTGTACCAACTGTGTGTTTGAAACAGTTCTACCGATTTTGAGCGGGTCGGTTTTCATCTCTTTTTGCCAGTGGTGGCGGAGGGGGGACACCCCTCACTATCCCTCTCCAAAGGGGGAGTTTGGTAAAGAGAGATGAAAAAACCGATTTGTACCTTTCTTAAAAGTTGTTCTAGCTCGCTATTCTAATATCTATATGCAATCTTCACACTGCCGTAATCTAACGGAACTATCAACTCTATGCTTTCATCTACTCCATCTATCGTATAAAAATTACCACTACAGTCTGTTATTTGAAATTAGCATCTTCAACTATGTAAATCGTTGACTTCACGTAGAAGTAATACTAAAACATATAGTCAAAGAACAAAACATAGGTCCACTGTAGGAGGTCCTTGGGAGTCCTGTCCAGCTGGGATGTCCTGACGGCCGAAGGAATCGATGGTGCTAAATCCTGCAGTATAACTTCGCCGCCATCAAAAAGCGCAGTACAGCTGCTTGAGTTGAGGGCGTCTGGCACTGGACCATTCCGTTGCCCACGCTGTCCGCATTGTGCAAGTGATCCATCTCTTCGCGTCTTGCAACGGCACCTTGTGCGAGTACCGAGAATCCATGCGTAGGTAGTGTTTGGTGGCTCAACCTTCAGGATGCCCTGGATCCAGGGGTGGACCGGGACCTCCGACGAAAGGGCCTGAATAACACTGTGGGAGTCCGACAGGATCAGAATTGGGTGATCCGCAGGAACCGCGACGGCATTAAGAATAGCCGCTTCTTCGGCCGAGAACACCGAACATTGTTTTGGCAGATTTCTACTCGTTGGGGAAATGTCACCAGCGATTCGCATTCCGACTTCAACTCTTGATCTTGACCCGTCCGTGTAACGATGCATGTAGTTTTGGTACAATGCGGTCAGCTCTGCTACCGATCTTCTAAGGGCTACGGAATTGTTCCCGGCTCTGAACTTCTCCTTTATCCGGCTGTCGATGTTTGGTGCGGGAGATTGCCAACTCTTATCTCCGTACCAGTCAATCTTGGCTACTGCACAGTGGTTCAGAATGCAGATTTAGGTGGAATGATATGTTTTGAGCCTGAAATTGAAACTTTAGACTAAAAGTCTCTTGTACAAAGTTGTTCCTTATAGTAAGGCCCTCATTCTAGGGTGGTTTTTATTATCCTTAAATCCAAAATCTAACTTTTTTGTTTGAATAAATTAAGGTATACATTTTTCATTGTCATAAAAATGAGGGCCCAACTATAAGGAACAACTTTGTAGAAGAGACTTTTAGTCTAAAGTTTTAATTTCAGGCTCAAAACATATCATTCCACCTAAATCTGCATTCTGGACCACTGTGCACTGGAGGGAGCTCTGCGTTGGCGATTGTACGGAGAACTCTGTCCCCCTCGCTGAGGAGGCAGATTCTGTCGTTTCCAGCAGTATTTGCAGAAAATGCAGCGGCTTTGTTGGCAATGGATGCGTAGATGCGGTACCGGAAAGGGGATCAGGGCCCGCAGACCTGATGTCGGTACCGGCAAACATGGCACGTAGCGCTCTTTCCAGCAGACAGTTTAAAACCTTTCGGAGTGGCCCATCTGGCTACGGCGGAAACCCCTGCTTGGACTCTAATCCTCGTTCGTTCCGGAGTTTGACCTGTAGCTACGATTAGCACGTCGTCTGCGTACACGAAAATGTATATGTTCTCTGGTAACCGCTCGAAGACACTGTTCATGCGGGATTTGGTATTACCTACCGAGACTCAGAAGGATCTGCCAGTCAGGAAATTTTGGACGAAATGGATCATATGGCCGCTATGTACGGTTGAAGGCTTTCGCAATGTCCAGGGAAACCAACTCCGTATGGAGACCGTTATCCTTGGCATCCTTGAGGAGCTCTCCTAGCGTCGCAAAATACGTGGGTGTACCGTGGCCTTGCCGCAATGCGTGTTGGCGATTGTCTAGAAGGCCGCCAGGCTCGAGAAACTGCTTCAGGTGTCGGTTGACCATCCGCTCGAGCACCTTTGCCATGCAGCAGGTGAGCGCAATGGGTCGGAACTTCGCCACGTCCCGTGTCGGCTCGTTTGCTTTAGGGATGGGGACAACCAAGCTCTCCCTCCACTGCTCTGGATACGAGTCTGTCTGCCAAAGCTGGTTGAAGAGTTCCAGCATTTTTACTTTATCCGGGGTAGGCAGGCACCCTGGTTTTGCGTTGCTTCTACTAAGCGCGAACTGAAATCGTGGTTGATCCTCAGGTTGTTCGTATCCGGAGAAACTCGAAAACTGCTTACGGACGAAGTCGATGGGTTTGGTAGCCGTTGAAAGGTCGCCTCGTGCTTGGAAATCGCAGAGAGGTCAGCGAAGTAGTCGCCAAGCTTATCTGCAACGATTGCGGGGTCGGAGACTGTAGCGCTGTCTACCTGTATATGCAGTGTGGCTGTAGAGCTCCGCCGAAGACTGTGAGGCATTTATGCTTTCGAGGAAGTCTTTCCAACTTGATCGTTTGGCATCTCGGACCAATTGGCGACACTGGTTGTGTCGTTCTCGATAGGTAACGAGCACTTTTTCCCTATCCGGATCATCGAGGGTCGTTTGATTCGTCGAAGGGCTTTTCGCCGGGCCTTGACTGCCTTCTTCGTTTCCTCGTTCGACCATCTGACGGCTTTAGGCCCAGGAATGCTGCTGGTTTTCGGGATGGTTGCTGACGCAGCTGCGTTTATTGCTTCAGTGAGATTCTCGATGCTGTCAGGGTTACGTTGTTGAAGGAGCAACTGGAAGGTTTCACCGTAACTCTCCCAATCGACTTCGTAATAGCGCCACCGAGGTCTCCGCGTTGTTGCCGGTATAGCGGCGGCAAAGAGTTGCACCTGAACCGGGTAATGATCGCTACCGTAGAGGTCCGGATTGACGCTCCACTGCCTTCTTCCAGCGAGGGAAACTGCTCCAAACTGCTGTTAAGAAGGAGACCCACCGTCATCCGTTGCTGTTAGATAGTAATTTGTGAATAATTACTACCTCTTAGTTAAAGGATGTGTCTTCCTCCAACAGACCAGAGCTGTCCTGACCACGTCCTTGCATCTGGTGGGGAAAGGAGAGAGATGTAAGTCCGACACTTACGTAAGAGAGATGCAGAGAACTCTACGACCCCTCATACCGGGAAGGGCGGAATTTTGTTAGCCCAGCGAATTTTGATGCACACAAATTTATTGAACAAGCGCTCCTTCCACACTAAAATTAGATTTTGATTCCGTCCTTCAATTCAAAAGCACGGTTGAGAACATTGCTTTTGGACAACCGGCGCCCAACAGTATAGAAAAGAAGAACCACGTGATCTGAATTAATAAACAAGTGTTCAGAGCTTCAGATTTGACATAGTTAACAATTTTGATGACAGAATCAAGTACTTTTAACATTAGTTCTGGTAGAGTCTCGCGCTTAATGACAAGTGCATATCGAACACCTGTGGCGTATGGAGCAAGCTCTATAATGTGTTTCTGAAATCTTGATTTGTAACCAAGCATTGCTAGAGCGCCATCGGTAATAACTCCACTTACTTTTTCCCACTGTAAGCCACCCGATTCAAAAAATGTTTTGATTTTAGACATAATATTGTCACTTTTGGCGCGGCCTCCCTTTCGGCCGCGGACCACCGGTTGGGAAACCCTGACCTAGATGATACGCATTCAGTTGACACTCAATCCTTCTAACACCCGCATGTGATTGTTCTGTTTTTGGTTTTGCACGCATTGTTATTTACAGTTGTAATTCTACTAATCAATCTAACTTTTAGCATGTTATCAGTGTGGCTTGGTTTCCGAGTAGATAACTAGTCTAAATACCATTTAATAACATTGCTTTTTTCAATTTCAGCATGGAAAGCTTCTGGGTGCAAACGGCGATCGGTGCGATCAAGATCATCGCCATGGTGTACGACATCATCACGTTCCCGGTGTACCTAGTGCTGCAGCGGCCCTGGAAGCGAAGAGCCCTCGCCAAACGACAAAAGGTACGTTTGACCTTGCAGCGGGAAAAACATTGCATGCACAGCATGCTGGGATTAATACCTAGGAGATAAGCGAGAGTAACTGTTGTGTGTTATGCAAAAAAAAAAGCGTGAGCGCGAACAATCGTAAGCAGTGATTAGGTGATATCGCATCGGTGATGTTTATGACGCACTTAGGTAGTTGATTATCTATTTTTGGGGCGCAGGTCGGGATTTGTGAAAGCCCAAACACTGGGTAGATAAGCAACCAATCTCATTTAAAGAAACGATAAATTCATCCGTCTACGTCGTCGTCGTCGTTGCGGGTTTTCACTTCAAAGGCATTGTTTTGGGGGCTGTAAATTACAATTCTCAGAGCTTAGCATTCTGAACTCCCGAACGTGTAATCATTTTCAGTGAGGTTGCTGATAGCGGAATTTCTGTAGGGGACTTTTCAGCTAGCTCACGTGTAGCTAGCCGCTCCGTTGCGCACTCCGCTTGGATATGAATATGGATAGGTATATGAGTGCATGCATATTTGCAAGTGCGATATTCTTGGAACTTGCTACCGCTGATGGTTGAGTGGGCTTTGACTAATTTTGAACCGAGGAACAGTAACGGAATCCTGGAAATAGTACCGAGCTCGTTTATGCATCCTACGTGTTTCCCAATTGGAAGAATGGTATTTCATTCCGAGCTGCGTTCTAATATGATTTGGTTGCAACAGGTCACGAACCTGCAGTTGATCGCAGTAGAGTAGCTAGGAGCTCTGTGTGTACAATGAACTTGCTTTTGTCGAAAACCGACTGGGATAAAGTACTGTAAGAGTATCGTTGATTCGACAAAGCTTTGCGAAGCCAACACATTCAGAAAGTAAGTTTCAATTTAACAAAATTAATGAAGCTATTCCAAAGTCCCGTCCAAAAATCCTTCGGGAGTTCTTCAGAACACTATTGTGCACTAAAACCCCAAAGCAAACAAAAAATCGAGTCTTGCAACAGTTTACCTGAGGCGATAAAAATGGCTCATAAAAATCTCTTATCTAACTTCCCCGCAACCGAACATGACGGCAATAACAACCTACCACCAGCACAGCAACGAACGAGACCGAGGCAGTTTGAAAACATGACCCGACTCGGGGCCAAAGTCCAAACCGGGCTAAATCGCGCACATCACATTAATTGAGCTGAAGGATGTGGTGTGGTGTCGGTGTGTAAAGCCGTGCAGAATTCCCCACTCCACCAGGGGGTTTTTTTTTCTCCAGAACTACTCTACTCTGGTGCAGCACGGACAGACTGCTTACATCATCAGATTTGCCGCGTAGGAACACCTCCTCTTCGTTTCCTTTATTATGATATCTAACTACAATGTATCGCAAAATTGAGCGTACACCTGAATTGACACACAACACTGTGTGAATAGAGATAATTTTTTGAAATCTTAGAGCTGGTCTAGTTCTGGACTTTATTGGCAGAGCCTGTACGAAGTTAGATCAATTTTTAGTAAATCGATCGATTTTCAACTGTTTTCGTAGTTTCAAAAGGTTGGTGCATTTGGTTATTTCAAGAAAATCAGCAGCACGCTCAATTTTGAGATACACTGTAGATGTTTTCTGCCAAGCTAACGAAATGGAACCGGCTGGCGGCAGGAAGGGGAGGGTTTGTATAGTCAGAGGTGGTAATTTGGTGCTTAAAAAAAACAGGCAAACTCTGATATCAATTCTCACCACATACCGTACTCACGCCAAATGTGTGTGTGCGAATGAACATGTGAACTATTATTAACCGCCGGGAAGCAGACGGGAGAATTCCAGCCCCGACTCCGCCAAAGTCTATAAATATGCCAAGGTCGCGCGTTGCCATACTCACGATCACGCGTTTCGATTATTTCGCATCCGATCCAGCGCAAAATGATTGATACCTTCTTTACACTCTTCTGTTTGCAGGCCAAAATCATCCAGCAGGATGACAAATCGATCACATACCGCGGTGTGGATTCACCCGGCGAGATGCACGTCAAGATGCTGCAGAACAACATCGACACACTGGAACGGATGTTCGAATTTGTGACCAAGGTGCACAGCACCAAGCGGTGCATCGGAACTCGTAAGCTGATCAGCGAGGAGGACGAGGTGCAACCGAATGGGCGCGTCTTCAAGAAATTCAACATGGGAGACTACATGTGGAAGAACTTCATCGAGACGGAGTACTCGGCCGCCTGTTTCGGCCGGGGTCTCCGGGAGCTGGGTCAGCAACCGAAGCAGAACATTGTGATCTTTGCCGAAACGCGCGCCGAATGGTTGATCGCGGCTCACGGGTGCTTCAAGCAGAACATGCCGCTGGTCACGATCTACGCCACGCTCGGGGACGAGGGCATTGCCCACGGTATCAACGAGACAGAAGTGACGACGGTTATCACATCCCACGAGCTGCTGCCCAAGTTCAGAAGCGTGCTCGGCATCACGCCTAACGTAAAAAAGATCATCTTCATGGAAGATCAACTGGAAAAGACCGACACCACCGGCTTCAAGGAAGGTGTGGAGATCATTCCGTTTTCGACGGTGATCGAGAAGGGACAGAAGAGCAAAATGCGTAAGTGTTGATGTTGGTGAATGAAGCCTGATTGGAACTTGACCACGAGAAATAGTTATTCTGGGTAAATTTGAATGAAGCAATCATGCCTCAAAGTTTTTTGAGAACCACACTGCTTTTACTTGTTTCTGAATTAAAATTTATTGACCGGTTTTTGGTACACTGCAAATTTGATGAGTACCCCAATTACCGCTCTTTACAACATCCTTTTACCATAGAGGTAACTCTAAGACTAGAAGGTCCCGAATAAACGTGTTCAACTTTTTGGCTCAGCTCTGGTACTCTCTTCAGTCCCAAGCTAATCGATGCACCCCTCGAAACATAGGAAAATCCACGAACAACACATTTTATCTGTCAAACTTTCATAGCGAATCAAAACAAACATAGTGTAGTACTAGAATTCCGACTAGAATGGGGTACGTTAATCGATTTGCTTGGGATCAATTGGCTAGTCAAGTAGTGAGCCAATTTAAAATCGTTAGTTTCCATTGGTTGCTTTTACTTTGGTCTTGTTTAGGATTAATTTAACTGTAAAGGGCTGTGCACAGATGGATTTTGAGAGGTTTCGGACCAAACCACCAACTCCCGCACCTTGCGTGGACGATCTTGCAAACATGTTTTTAGAATTTGTATGAACCATGAATTTGCCCCTCCCACTAGGTCAGCAAAGTTTAGTTTAAACATTGCATCCTTGAAATAATCCTAAAAAAAAAATCAAATAATTAAATCCTTTTCAAGCAATATTACAAGCTAGCTACCTACAGTGAATCATGACTTCGCCAGATCTTTGAATTTTCTCTAGCCTCCCACCCATTTAACTACGATTTCCACTTTCCAGCCGGCAGTTCCCCAACGCCCGACGACACGGCCATCATCATGTACACATCCGGATCCACTGGCACGCCGAAGGGTGTCCTCCTGTCGCACGCCAACTGCATCGGAACCATGAAGAACTTCTGCGACATCTTCAAGATCTACCCGGACGACGTGCTGATCGGATTCCTGCCCCTGGCGCACGTCTTCGAACTGTTGGCCGAAAGTGTCTGCCTGCTGACCGGTGTCCCGATCGGATATTCCACCGCGCTGACGCTGATCGATTCCAGCTCCAAGGTCATGAAGGGGTGCAAGGGTGACGCCTCCGTACTGCAGCCGACCTGTATGACGTCCGTTCCGGTAGGAAAACTCTTAATACTTCTGAAAAAATCACACCTCATTCGGATTTTCCTACAACACAGCTCATCCTGGATCGTATCTCGAAGGGTATCAACGCGAAAGTGAACGCCGAAGCACCGATGAAGAAGGCCTTCTTCAAGTTTGCCTACCAGTACAAATCGAAATGGGTTGCACGAGGATTCCAGACGCCATTCTTGGACACGTAAGCTCCCCGCTCTTGAAACTGTCCTGCGATTACAAATTCTAAAAAAAATGAATCCCCTTTTCTGTTGTCCTCTGCAGCATTCTCTTCAAGAAGATTGCCAAACTGATGGGAGGACGCATCCGCGGTGTCATGTCCGGTGGAGCTCCATTGGCGGCCGACACACACGAACAAATTCAGCTGTGCTTGTGCGTTGAAATGATCCAGGGCTACGGACTGACGGAGACGACCGCCGGAGCTTCCGTTACTGACAGTAAGGGGCCTGCGCTCAAACTTCCTCTTTCTTCATTTGATCGGTTTACTAAAACAAAAACCTTTTTTTCCAGAATGGTCCATGGAGTACAACGTTGTGGGAGCGCCATCGTCGTGCAATTACATCCGGCTGATCAACTGGGAGGAAGGCAACTACCGAATCACGAACAAACCATACCCGCAGGGAGAGATCGTCGTCGGTGGAGCGACCGTGTCCAAGGGATACTACAAACTGCCTGGCAAGACCGAGGAGGACTTCTTCGAAGAGGACGGCCAACGGTGGTTCCGGACGGGAGATGTCGGAGAGGTGCATCACGATGGCGTGCTCAAGATTATCGGTAATGGCCGCTCACAATTTCTCAGCTGCAAATTTGAACTATCTTCCTAACGCTCTCTTGTTGCCGTTGTTTTCTTTTTTTTCAGACCGTAAGAAGGATCTGGTCAAACTGCAAGCCGGAGAGTACGTATCGCTCGGCAAGGTGGAATCGGAACTGAAGACCTGCCCGGTGGTGGAGAACATTTGCGTGTACGGTGACTCGACCAAGCAGCACACGGTGGCGCTGATTGTGCCGAACCCGCAGCACCTGGAGGAGATTGCCGAGCGGCAGGGAATGGCAGGAAAGGAATTCGAGGAACTGTGCGCCTCGCCGGTCATGGAAAAGGCCGTGGTGCAGGAGCTGGCCGAGCATGGCAGGAAATGTGAGTATCGACGTTTTGGAAAGCATGCGGGTTGGAGGATGCAACGAACGCTTCAATGCGAGGGATGCCATAAACGTAGCAAAGACACAAACCAGTTTGAGGCAAGCGTTTCGCAGTGGGGGTGTATCTAGAATGTTTCTACACCGCCGTTGGTGAATCTCGCGCTCAAATTTGAGTGGGAAGCGGCTAGTGATTAGCTTCTAACGCCGCGTTGAGTCCTGTTGAATAGTCCGCACAGATACGAACCCGGCCGTTTGGTTTACGTACAGCCACGATTGGAGCAGCCCACTCAGAGAAATCGATGGGCTCGATGATACCCAATGATTCCAACCGTGTAATTTCAGCATCCACCAATGGAATTGTGTTGAAAGGAACTGGCCGCTTGGGACAGAAAACAGGTTGAGCATGAGCATGAGCAATGTCCTAGTGAATCGTTGAACACATCTGCGTGCTTGGCCTGGAATTCACGTACTTGCTGATCGATTGGGTTTGTCTTCACTTGGTTGCAAACCGAAACGATGGGAACTGACCACAGCTCGAAGAGTTCGATTCAGTCAATGCCTAGCAGGTTCAGATTAGCAGCCGTTCTGACGAAGCATCTTCCTTGTGCAGTTTTGCCGTTGATTCTCACTTCACACTCGAACTCACCCATCAAATGGAGCGGCTTGCCTGACGCGTTCATTGCTTCAATGGTTGGTTTCTTGATTGCAGGTTTGCCCAGATAGTTCCCGGTTTGCTTCGAGATTACCGTGATGTCGCTCGCTGTGTCCAGTTGTAGCTTGGTTTCCACGCCGTTGATGAATGTAGGAACGAACTTTCGCTTGCTTGAGTGTTGAGCGATATGATTGACGATGTATACGCCACGGGATTTTGCCTAGCAGGGTTTGCTTGATTTGTTCGATGACTTCTTTTTCTCCCCAGCTTGAACGGATTTTGGTTTGGAGAAGCAGCCACATTAGCCTTCCTTGTGACCGATACGGTTGCACTGCTGAATGCAGAATGGACAATCCCGAACATAGTGCATCTGGCCGCATTGCCAACAAGGTGTGCGAGGCGATTTACCTTCCGTCTTCGAAAACTGTTGTTGTCGAGAAATTCCCTTCTTCTCCTGAACTGCGTGCACCGTTGGTTTCGAGCTTGACTGACGCTCGATCATGGATGTGTCCGCCTTGAGATTGACGAGCCGTTGATAGTCGTCGATCAAGTTTTGGAGTGTTACGGGAGCTTCTGGTGTTTCAGCTTCGATCCGGGAGAGTAGCCTGGCTCGTATGTATGCATAGCAATGGCTTTTGAGATCGCAATTGAATCACGTTCTTGAAATCGAAATCTTCCCCAGCACGGTTGACTTTGCCTCCGTAGCTGATGATGTCTTCTGCTTCCGATTTCACCAGCTGCAGGCACTGATATCGCTTGTTGAAGATGGAGGCTTGTGATCCGAAGATCTTCTTGAGGGTTTTTCGACTGTGTCAGCCAAATTGACGTCTTTTGGAAGCTTCGGCAGGATGTAGTTGGTGTACCGGGTGTGTGACGGTGTATCCAACTTCCTCAGCAGCAATCGGACCTTGGCGGCATCTTCCAGGCTTCGTGGCATCCACATCGAAAAGATCCGCGTACCGGCTGTACCACTTCTCGAAGGTGATTCCATTTTCCGGGTCGAACGAAAAATCGCTGATGTTTGTTGCCAAGGCCTCGAGTGTTTGATCCGGGTTGCTATGGACTTGATTGGGTTCTGCTAGCTTCTGTAGGAGCGCTGCCATCTGGAGAATTGCTTCCTGAAGTTCTGCCATCGCTTCTGGTTCTTGAATCCTCGTCGCCAAATTGATGTGTCCAGAAAGTAGTTCCGGAATAGAAAGTTAGCTTGATAAATACTAGAGATGTTTCTTTACTCTAGGTCTAACGTGTCATGCATCAATACTTTTAGTAGTAGTAAAATTTACGTTTATTTTCTGGGTTTTTATGTTTCAACATTTGATTTAACATTTCAATTGGTTAGCCTTTGGCTCTTCATCTTTGTTCTAGTTAATTGGTTATTCCAATATGATGATTGCGTTTAGCGCTAATTTACAAGATACCCTTTGTGGGATTGTTTTGGTTTGAATTTAAAAAAATGATAACCTACCTAATTGAGCAACTAACTACTTAAACTAGGTTGCCAAATCACGAATGATCTGGTGGTTTGATCGCAGACAGGCGACTCTGAACCTTTCCAGCGTGCAAGTCTTTCGCTCCTCGAGTGTTTGAAGACCGGCCAGGTGGTGAATCTCAGTTCGCGGTGGACTGTTAAGGATCATGCTGAGGATCTTGTTTTGGATCCTCTGAAGCTTTAAGTGGTGGTACGTAGCACAACTCTCCCAGATTAGCATACCATACTCAATAGCCGGCAGAATGATCTGCTTGTTTTTGAGGGACAGGGTGGAGTTCCTGTTTATCAGAGGGTAGAGCGACCTGATCAAGATGTTACACTTGGTGGATGTCTTGTCCACATGGGATCGGAATAACAATTTGCTATCGAGGGTGAGACCAAGGTAGACTACTTCATTCGACCATTCAATAGGAGTGCTATCAGGATGGATCTTGACGTTAGCAGGCGGAACAAGCCGAGGTGAATACGAGTGTGGAAACAGAATGGTATGTGTTTTAGCTGCATTGGTATAAATCTTCCAGCTCTTAAAATAGTCGGACAAAACTGCAGCTGATGTTCCGTCTCGCAGCGATGGCCACTCCCCCTCCCCCGGAGCTGGTGCGGTCAAGCCTTACAAGCCGAAAGTCGGGAAGGAAGACGTTCAGCTCGGGCTTCAAGTGAGTCTCGGTGATGACGGCTATGTCGATGTGCCGTTCGTTGAGAAAGTCAACAAACTCAATGTTTTTGCTCTTCAAGGAGCAAGCATTCCAATTTACGATTTTGATGGCTTCACGGTCCATACTTAGGGACAAGGGACAGGGCAGCATGTAGCTGTTCAGATCGAGTCTTGCAGGTGCGCATGATGATGATGATGACCTCGGCCACGAGCGTCACAAGTTCCTCCGAGGTGAACGGAGAATCGTCGACAGGTTCACCTGAGACAGCACCAGCGTATGATAAACCAGGGGCGGTGGATGAACCTGGAATTGGCTGGGCAGCAGCAGCAGCGAGACGATGCTGAACTGACCGACTGTTGGGAACCATTTAGATACTCGCAGGATTGGCTTGTTGGTTGTTGAGCGGAAGCGGGGATAGGTTCGGAACATGTCGACGGGGCTGGAGAGCTGGGTACTGGACTTCCGTGAGTACAGGAGGCGAACGATGATTACGGAGGCGACCGACCTGGTTGTTGATTGTAGCCTTCCGACGGATATTAATGAACTCCACTCGCTTGGGACATCCGCGATTGGAGGCTTGATGGTTTCCACCGCAGTTGACACACGTTGGCTCTATGTCATCAACTTGCTCACAGGACGCAGTTGAGTGAGTTCCAGCACACTTGCCGCAGTTTGCCTTCATATGGCAGTTTTTGGTGCCATGGCCATAGGAGAGGCAGTTCGTACACTGCGTAACATCACGATGTTGGGGTTTGTAATGCTCCCAACTGATGATGACCTGAAACAGGTCCCGGATTTTGGATCTCAGAGCCGCAAGACTGGTGGATCTGGAGTTGTCGAAAAGTGCTCTTCAACAAAGTTGTAGCTGAGAAAATTTTCAACAAGCACAGCTATCTTCAGAGCGATATGGTGAATTATTAGATAGGTATGAACTAAATAATTGGTTTTCCCATAGTAATTTCCATATCAACTTCAAATGCGAAGTGCTTCAAGTGCCAAGTCAGTTTCTAACTAAATGAATTCAGATGTTGATAGACTAAGGAGGAACCAATTTGGAACTGGAACTATTGCACAGACTGACCACTTAACACTAAACAACGGATAATACACAACAACCAGTAGGCCAGTAGGGAAATTTCCCGAACTCTTCGACGAGTGACGCCGCTGACCGCATGACCGGGAAGCTCTGCAATTTTGGAGGTGTTCTTCGAAAGTTGGATTGGATTGTAGCAATACCGTAGGAACAGGATAAGAATTAAGGTGGCCAGTTTCGAATTTACGAGGGACTGTACCAACGGGAAGCAGCTTCAGGCAACTTCCAAAAAAGTCCTGTTGGAAATATCCATTGGAATGCTTGAATAGATTTTTTGGGCAGTTTCGAGGGAACTTCTGGATAGTCTCTGAGAGAACTTTAGGTATTTTCCGAAAGCTTCACGGAAGCTCTGAGAGAAATTAACAGAACATCTGGATGAACTTGAAAGACCTGGGAAGTTCTGAGAAATCTTTATGGTAAAGGCTAGATCATTTAGAAATGAGGCACTTCATTTTGGCGATTGCGGCGCTCCCAGTGGCTGGATATGCTTGCTTTTGACAACGTTTTGTTGTTTGTAAACAGTACCTTTTCACAGTGATTCCGAGATATATCATGCAGGAGGAGAAAAGAAAAATAATTGTGCACTGTTACCTCCAAAATTTATCAGCGTCAACTCGAGAGCTGGCAAAACTGCTGGATTATCCTAAAAGTACTGTGGCGCGAGTGATTAAAAAGTACATGGAAACTCTCACAACTGCTCGCAAAGTGCAAACCACAGCCGTAGTGGAACCGTTTATCGTCAACTGTGGTTGAAGGTCATTCGCAAAATCTAGGCTGATCCCAATTGCTCGGGTTATGATTTGACGAAAAAACTGAATGCTGACCGCTGTACTGTGCGAGGAATCCGTCTCGGAGAAGGCTACAAATCAGTGCCAACATTTCAAACGGGAGTAATTGCTTTTGTAAACAATGGCTTTAGACGTCGATTTCTCGCAAATGAAAACCCACCCCTCCAAATTACAAATGCTAGCTGATACAGAAAACATTCCTCTGCGTGCTGGTGTCATTCATTTTCATGAGTGAGCTTTCATTCGCGAGAAATCGACGACTAAAGCCATTGTTTACAAATGCAATTACGCCCCTTTGAAATGTTGGCACTGAAATGTTACCGAGCAAGTAAACAACCCAACCGAAGCCTCCAACAACAAACAGTGGCCAAAACCCGGGCCCGTAAGCTGTGAAAGCCTATTTCAACAAATCCCGGGGCGCAAATTCTACAAGGCTCCTGCTTGCGACAAGGTTTGATTTGATTTGGCAAGGGATCTGTTCCTGTGGCAAGAAACGTGTGGCGAGATAAGACCATGGATTCGGAAGTATACAAAAGGGAATGCCTCAACAAACGTCTTTTACCTTTCAATAAGTCCCATGATGGTCCAGTTACCTTTTGGCCAGATCTAGCCTGCTGCCATTACAGCAGGGAAGTGCTACAATTGCGTCCAGTTCATCCCAAAAGAGCTGAATCCACCAAATTGTCCCCAGCTCCGTCCAATAAAGAATTATTGAACGATAATGAAACGGAAACTGAGGATGAAGGGAGGAGTCACCAGCGCCATTGGTCGGATGAAGAATTGGTGGAATCAGCTGGCCAAGACCGTGACTGAAGAAGGTGTACGCCGGTTGATGATTTCATGAAAATGTTCTTACCTTTGTTTCATCCTTAGAAAGTTTTTCGATGTAAAGAAAAGTTAAAAAGATACACGCATTTTGAAAGTGCCGCTTTTCTGTGTAATCTAGCCTTTATGTTCCGAGGGAACTAAAAACAAGTACCGAGGGTGTTTCGGAAAATTTCCTAGAAATCTTTAGAGAAGTTCTAGAGGAACTTCAGAAAAGATCCTAGGAAACTTCTGACAAGTTCCAAGGGCGTTATAATAGCGATAGCAATGACCGTGGCTGTGCTCTTAAGTTCGATTGTCACTTCTTGGCAACCACTGCCAGCAGCATAACCTCCGCATATCATTCTGCTACATACTTTTAACGTTCATTCATGCATTCTAACCTCTTCCTCTCTTCTTCAAAATTTCCCCCTTCCCACAGGCAAACTGCATCGTTTCGAGATCCCCACGGTGGTGACGCTGTGCAAGGACATCTGGACCCCGGACATGGGCCTGGTAACGGCGGCATTCAAGCTCAAGCGCAAGGACATCCAGGAACGGTACAAGAGCGACATCAGCCGGATGTACGCGTCGTAGATTTATTCGCATCACCCCGCAGCAGCAAGTGTCCCAGTTAGAGAGAGTGTGGGTGTGCGTGTGCGTGCAATTGTGTGAAATTGATCTCGCAGAGTTCTATAGCTTCAAAAGCACCAGTACCACCAACACCACCACCACCACCAAGATCATCACCATCATCGTCGACGTCCACGAATGTTAGGACGGCGCAAGGAGGGTAGCTGCAGATTGTCATTTCATCCCCCGATCATCATCCCAGTGTGTGTAAAACATTGTAGACCATAATTAATTACGGTTCCGGTTCCGGTAAAAATCGATGTTGTGTACAGAGAGCGAAAGAAAGAAAGAGCAGTGGAAGATGTTTGGCAATGTTTGTCAAATTTGTTGTCCCATTATTACCTAATTGTTAGGTCAAAATTGGATTCGAATAGTTTGCTTTGTTTTTCCTTTTGTTATTTTCCAATCGTTTTCATCCAATTCTACTTCATACTACAAGCACGAATAAAACAAACATGTGAATAACTTTTCTCCTAGTACAGACATTTCTTTTGCCTTGTATCTTATCCCAACTATACCATCTGTATCTACTATCCTGTATTCGAATGAAATGAATGTGTGTGTGAGCGCTAAACATGTAAAGATTGAGTAGCAACAACAAAAAAAGCAGTTAGATAAGAAAAAGGCTAGATATTGTTAAAATTGGTAATAAGCACCTTCTTAAACTGGTAGGGATTAGGCATTAGAGCAAAATAAATTGAAGCGGATTGATGAAACTGATTCCAAGCGATGCGCGAGAGTGTGCGAGTGTCAGTCCCTTCCCCCCCCCCCCCCCCCACCAAACTATTATTCAATCTACCAACTTTGTACATAGAACGAGTGCAACTAGAAAGACTTGTAAAGCACATCTAAGGTGAGAGGAGCGATCGAAAAATGATACTAGATTTTCTTTTTTTTGGAAACCGAAACGAAGCGGATACAAAACAAGACGCAAGGAGTCTGATTAGTTTAGTTGTAGTTAATTCTGCTTGGTGGGTTGGGAAATGAACAATTTACGGAAAACGGAGGAAAAAAAAATCACTTTTGTAAATAGTTTTTCACTTGAATCCCTATAATCGAATTTTGATTTCTCGAAAAGAAAAAAAAAACACCCCCACCATCATCAACGAATGGCGCTATAATTATCGAGCGGCAAACAGCATATCTTGGACTCACACAATGCTTTAAGTTTTTTTTTAGCGGACGCTGCTGCTCAGCGTTTGTCCTTCAATTTCGATCCGAAATGGTAGCATGGACGTCCAGTCACACGAAGAAATGCAATGTTATTTTTTTTTATAAATTATTAAAACCGCAAAGCAATGTATTCTACCATTGATTATTAGAAACTATTTATTTCCATTTTGTTTTTTTCCTATTACATACCTTATACGTTGTGGTTTCGCTGGCAGTCTCTAGAACAAACATCCTCCTCCCTATTCTGCGAATCACGTGACTCTCTCTCACCGGTGAGGTGACAATAGTCACCTCGTGTGAGGTGACTCTCCATGTAAATCAAATGGAGAGTCACCTCACACGAGGTGACTATTGTCACCTCACCGGTGAGAGAGAGTCACGTGACTCGCAGAATAAGGGGGCCTATTTGAGTGGGCTGACCAAAGTAAAAAGTGGAACGAAAGGCGAAACTTAAAAAAAAAACACTGAAAAACAATAAAAAAAGTTAGTTATTTAAATAAATATGGTATGGCAGGCAGAGCGGAACTAAGAGAGGAAAAGTTAGCAAGTAATTTAATTAATTGAAAAAGGAAATCCTGAAATCCAATAAGGTGGAGAATAAAGAACGAGAAAAATGTGATATTTTGAGTTGATTTCAGTACAAAGAGAGTTGAGAAAGTTGTCCACGAGGGCTAATGAGTCTTATTCTGAGGTGAGCTGACAATTCTCTCACTCAATTCCGGACCTCTGCTCTGTGATTGTTTGCATGTTTCTGATAGAGTTTTGGTAGCGACTGCAGATTAATTTTTAATTGTTTTGCGTTCGTTAGACTCTAATCGGTGTATCAATAGTGAAAACAGTTTTATAAAAACCCGTGCATCGACCCATCTTAATACGGATCTCCATCCCGGGCTGCACGCCGTCTCAAGGAAATCATTCCAGATGGAGCTAGCAACGGCTGCACCCGTTGATCATGACATGACATTATGTTCAATTTCCACCGGAAATACGAGACTATGCTGGTGCGATCCCGTCTATTCCGGTAAACAGAACCAGTGAAACTGTCAGAAAACTGGTTCCAAAAACAGAAAGTCGCGTTGACGAAGAGGCCTCTCAGGGGACATACATATTTAACTGTGACAGCAGTGTTGGACAGTCAAGCAGCTTTCCAACGAACATAGCTTGAGCGACCGTCCGTCTCACCTCTAATGGTTCGATTCCCAGCAGAAGCTCCTCGCACGGTGGCAAGTTCGTTGGGTCACGCTAGTTGAGGAAACGAAGAGCATATCTCACAAACTTGCGTTAAACGGATTCAATTCTAGTGATCCAGCTAGCATGGAAAGGGCACCAAACAACTAAACTTCACTCAAATAAGGATAGCACAAGCGAGCAGAAAAGTGACCTGAGGCATAGCGGGTCACGGAACTGGTCGGCAATTTTGAAAATAAAGCCCAATTGTCGATTAGCTCTGGAGATGATGTCATTGTAGTGGACTCTGAAAGTGAGCGTGCAGTCCAAGGTAACGCCGAGATTTTGACGTAGAACTACGTCTTTGTCGACTATACTGGGGTGCAAATCAAAAAATATGTGTGTTGAAATAGTGTTAGGTTTTGAACGCTTGTAACTTTGTCATTTATTGATGAAAATAAAATCCAAATACGCCAATCGATAGGATATTACATAACGAATCTGTTGAAATAAATAATATAATTAGGGTTAACTACCCCATTTCCGGCCTATTAAGCACAACCTGCACTTAGTCTTTATTAATCTAGCGCAGCTTAGCACCAAACGGAATGTTGTTATTACTGATGGCTTCCAAATTTATTTACCTTTCCGTATGTACCGTAAGATTTGATAAAGAGAAACCAATCGTTGAGATATTGTCAAATGTCTATCACTGCTTCTTGACGCCAAACTCGGCCTACGGGTTCTAAACTCGGCCTAGCGCATTGAAACGCCAATGAATTCACTTCGGCCTATCGGATGAAGATACAAATTGATTCGGTCGGAGCCAGAGCTGCCAGGTGGTTTTATAAAAAATCTGTATCCACTCTATTAAAAAATCTGTATTTTCTGTATTGACGATTTTTTTCTTAATTAATCATGTTTTGTTGTTTTACAAATACAGTGCATACAAAATAACCATAAAAAGTGCTTAACCACCTATTCGGGCTATCGTACTAACCATACGGGATATAATTGCGCCATTTGTGATATCGTCTGTACTTATTTATAAGAGTGATATGAAGCCGTTTGAAAATGTATGGAGATTTTAGTTTCTATTCATTATCTTCCTGATAAGCAGTTTTAAATGCAAAAAAGTGCACGAGTTCATTACTATTTGATATTTTTAATACAGATGAATACAATTAATTACATCATTTGTGTGGTAGTTACACCGAAAAGTCGAGAGATGTCGCCCTGCCATTGCTGGTAAAATCATTTTTGCAGTATGGAGAATATCAGAAAATCCGCAATTTCTTACGAAATACATTTTCAATGCAAGTAAAATGTTTACGAGTACTTGTATTTGTACCATTTTAATGTGCTCGGGCACTTTTCTTGTATTTAACATACATGCTTATATTGGAAATATTCAATTAATACTGTAAATCCCCATACAATCTCAAATCGTTTACTACCAGCTTCATATGCATCCGAAACCGGTTGGTCCTCTGGTTGTGAATGCTGACAAAAACACCATAACATTCATTTTATAAAAATCTGTATAAATCTGTATTGTAATTTAAAAATCTGTGATAAATCTGTATTCTGTATCGGGTCTGTATTAAGATTAAAAAATCTGTATAATACAGATAAATCTGTATAAATGGCAGCGCTGGTCGGAGCGCTTCTTTTGTTTTTTGGAATAATGGGTGCAAACCTTCATATCACGCGTTCTCATCGACTTCGTTTGGTAGCTTATTAACTAAAGCATCGTACCAAATGCATAATTTATATGTTAACTCTGAAATCATGCATTTATTTGAAGTTTTCTGCTCGATAGGCTAAAAATGGGCGATTAGGCCGAAGTAGTTCTCTACACTCTAAAAAATCCTCACGTCCGATTTACGTGAAATATCACGTAACTGATCTATATTTAGAAAATTTCAAATGTTACGTGAAGTTAGTAACTTCGATCTGCATTACACGTCATTTCCGCTAAAAATGTTGGTGAAATCGACCGTATATTCACGTAAATAAGTTTACTGTATTTGTGTTTGTGTGTTTGGGGATTCGATATTTCCGTGAAACGAGATTTACGTGATTTTCAGGTACGCAAAAAAGTCAATATGGCGTCACCAAACGTGGTGGAAGAACACCTAAAAAATTCAAAATTTCGCAGCAGCTTGCTACAAATATTGGACGGTAATTTAATTCATTTACATTAATTTATTTATGATTATATGTAGCCTTTTTCTAGTTTTATAATTTCAGACGGTGGCATCAGTATTTTGAGTCTGCAGGGTGTCCATCCAACCTGGAAAACCGGGAAAAAAACCGGGAATTCAGACTTACCCCGGAAAAAACCGGGAAAAATGCGAGAAAACCCAAATTGAACCGGGAAAGATCATATATACTCATCTCAAGTAACAATTTTCATTTTAGGCCATAATTTGGTCTTGAAGAATCTTTTAAACATTTAAACTTGTAATGTTACTTGAAATCAATCAACTTTGTATCACATACATAATTATATTCTCTTGCTAACAACTTTCATATTATTCGTTTATCTCACTCGTAATCTGTTCGCGCCCGGATCAAGCGGTGATTTTGTCGTTGTTCCTACTAAGATAGCTAAGTTTAAAGAATTTCATGTGGTTTCATTGGAATGCATATGGTGTCATTGCTTGAATTCTTTTAGAGCATTTCCAGCCCAAAACACAAACCGGTTGGACATAAGTGTCTCCGATTTGAATGAAACATTTCTCACGTGTTCGCTGCTACTAATGGTTGCATTTTTCATTTAAATATGATTTTTTCCTCCAGAGTAACTGTACGCAACGGTACCAGACCCCTCGTCAACAGCAAACGCTGACGATACCCTGTAGAACTAACGGTTAAATGATAACGTCACCGGACAACGTCAAGTGAGAAGTCGTCAGCTTGAGTTGTCAGTTATCACTTTCTTTATCATTGTTAAGTTACTACCAAGATCAACACAGAACATACAACACCTTAAAAATTAGTAATTGTTAAAAGTTGGACTATACATTTGTTAATTATAAATATAATTGTAAGTACACTTTGCTTTAAAATAAACACATACTAATTGAAACATATCATTTACAAGAACTCAACGAATAAGCATAAACTATTGTTACGACAGACGAATAATTGTTTACGAAGTGGATTAAAATTGTAAGTAACCTAAAATGTGCTAAAAACATGCGTTGAAACTAAAAAATAATAAATTTACAGCTAAAAGCTAACTCTAAACAAACAAACATACGAGTTTGCCTTTAAGAGGTCCGAACGACTTCATCGTCTCCGTAACAAACTTTTAGAATTTTATTTCTAAAGTTAAATTTGTGTATCGAAAGGTTTCGAAGAACATAACCATGCAAGTACCAGGACCCGTGCCAGTAAGTAATGCTGACTCATCCCAGCCTCACTGCATTATATGTAACCAGCCGGATGATGCGGATCGGAAAATGGTCCAGTGTGACGGATGCGAACGCTGGTACCATTTCATGTGTGCCGGTGTCAACGACAGTATTGAAGATGAGAACCGAAGCTTTATGTGCACGGCATGCGCTCTCCCTAACTCGGCCGGAACCGTAGTGTCGACGTCCGCCAGCGCTCGAGAAGCGAGGTTGCAACTTGAAATGCAATGCTTGGCAGAGGAGAAACGGCTACAACAAAAAATGCAGGAAGAACGGGAAAAGCAG